CGCTCTGCGGAAGTACATGCATGTTTTTTGTATTATTGATTGTTATGGATGCTCATTTTAGTATCCCCTCAAAAACATGTTCGCATGCGTCTTCCCATTGTCAGTTGATCATTCGCCTAGAAGTTTATAACTAGTGCAAATATAACTAAAAGATGAACATATATGCTGCTTACTGACTATCGTCCTGTTTCTGTTTAGTGTCTTGTTTTAAAAAAGTGAAAGAAAAGGAGATAAAAATTTATATTTTTTTTAACGCTTAAAACTAAAGATTTTAAATCACATATAGTTACTGAAAAGCATTCCCGACCAAAATTTTGTTTACTAGCGATTTGTGTACTTGTTATCTTTAATCCTTATATGCTCACCTGGGGTCCATATGGATCTCAGGAACAAGGCAAATCTCACATAGGTGGAAATATGAGGATTCATTTCGGATGGAGGCTATTTTTATTAAACAAAGTGAAGACTGTTATAGTAGACTACGTTCTTCTTTTTCGGATTTCATATACTTGGTGTTTTCGAGCTTAAAACGTAAGATACTAGGTATGGTGCCCTCAGACGCTCTACACAGGTGCTAATGAGAATATAATGCTTCGGAGTGGACATCATATTCAAAATATTTGTTTTAAACATCCCCAAATAAAATTCAAAGCTGTGTTAACACCCATTCCAGCAACAGGAAAAAATCCCAAAACTGCTTGCTCAAGTTGTAGACTATAACCGTGAATATTTACTTTTTGTTTAAAATGAGAGATCTGAGAGTTATCGCTACAAAAACTGTAACTGGACACATTTCTCGTTCCTCTATCCATCCATCCATCAATATTGTCAATGATATTCCACTTTATTCCTTTTTTATCTTATATATCCAAAAAAAATATTTTTCTATTATTACTTTTTTTTTTGAATTATAAATGTCCACAGTTCCAAAGATGCGAAAATTGTACAAAATATGTGTTTGTTATTCGTTAATATATTGTGTATATATCTAAGGTCAAGGTATAGAAGAATACCGCAAGGTCCTTATTCATAACATACACTTTTTCTGGATGAATACAAATGCCAGTGAGCATAATACCAGATCATTTTCAAATGACTACTTCCCCACCCCCCAAAAAAATTGAATATGTGGAGGAGAAAATCTTATCTATTTTCTGGCCTACATCATGGAAATTGTGAACACAGACAACTAAAGCAACGTATGCTGTTTCTTTTGATGAGGTTGAGGTAGAAGAATAGAAGGTAAAAAAATATTTAGGCACTCAATACCCTCATTGAAGTAGAATCAACGATACTTTTTTTATCTCCCAAAGACCTGAGAATCCATTGTTTGTTTTTTATTTCTTGATTATATCGTTCATGTATTTTCGATACAACAACTGTTTCTATTCTTCTTCTTGACTATTGTGTATGTTACAGGCAAAAAGTATGTGAAACGAAACTTTTTCTATTGGAATTTTAAACAATTGGTTTCTCTTATTCTTCCTTTTTTCCTTTTACTTATTATAAATAGAAACTGGTGGATATGTTTGTTAGTATTATTGTATAACGATATTTTCAACGAATAGTAACAAAATTCCTGCATGATTAGATTTTTAAAGGTAAATAATCAAAATCTTGTTTTACGCTCTTTAAAAGCAACTAATTTGAAAGGATATGAATTGATGTTTCTCGTTGAAGAAACAAAATAGGATAACTATCGCAATACTCATGTTATTTTTGTTAACATTAATCGAAATTTCTTTTTAAAAAATTTGTAAATTTGAGGAAGAATTGTTTTATCTAAAAGAAAAATAAATTTTCAACTCTTTATTAATTTTTTTCTGCAACAGATAATATATTTTTCTTTAAATATTAAAAGTTTTTTTAATAGTTGTTGTTTGAATTATAGAAAATACTTTTAAAGCTTGAATTTGTTCATCTTTTTTCCATTGTCTTACTACGATAGTTTTTCTTCTTCACCTTTTTAATTATTATTATTAATAGAAAGCTCTCTAATTTCTTTGTTCTAGGTAGTGTTTTTGTTCTTTTCTTTCTTATATATACATAATGTAAATTATGTGTTCAGATATTTCAAGTAGTCTATTTCAAATGACTTTTTCGCATTTTCGGTTATGAGTATGTGTGTCGTGTAAACGTATAATAATATTATGCAAAGAAAAACTGAAAAAAAAAAACTTAAGATGTGTATAGATGATAGATATATATATATATACAATTCAATGTCAAATATAAAAAAAATTCGTAACCTATACAGCAATATTATCTGTAATAGAGAGAGAGAGAGAGAGAGAGAGAGAGGAAGGTGTTAACGTAAAGTTCATATGTATAAATGAGTTTTAATATTTTATCGAATGTATACAATCGAAAATTTTACTTTTATTTTAGATTTATTTTGTTATCTCTTTTAAGCGGATAAATTAATAATGAAGTTTAATTTAGACAATGGTAAATCAATTAATTAAATCAAAAACAGTACTGTTATACTTCTAAATATTTTTACCTTTAGTTTGAATGTTTGACATTGATCTATTTTCATGTGTTATTTTAACGTGCTCTATTTTCAAATGAACTGATATTTAATATTAAAATAACAAGCAATGAATTAAGGTAAAAAAATTATATTTATTCAACAACGGGTGTTAGTTTGCTATTTTCGATTTTGGTCTTCAATACTCTAAGTATTTGCATATTCTGGTAGACATATTAGAGTGTCATTTGAAATGAACAAATCATACGCATATGGATAATTTCTAATTAATTTAGTTGACTTTAAACACGTACACTTGTTTTTACCGTGTTTTTTATGGGAAAATATCGTCAGTTAGCGATCGATGGTAGTGGAACAGAAAATTGGCTACAAATTGCGTATTAGGCGTTCGTATCCTTCATTTTTTTAATTTGTCAATCGATGTTCGCTATGTTTTACAGTTGTCGAGGATATGTTATTTTACTTTTTATGGACCCTCTAATGTGACTAAGAAATCAATATTTTTTAGACAATGTCAGTTGAAAGTGGGGAGGAGAAAAGAGGTAGAACTAATTTCTAATTTATTAGGCAAGTCCAGATTTGCTATCAGAAAAGAAAGGTAGGCGACCGGTAGACAATGTACTTTCATTTGTATAACTCGATCATTGTTGTTCTTAGTAGATAGCCGTAGCATCATTATAAATATTATTGATCAGCAACTTTTCACAGACAAACGAACGAATTTGAGCGTGAGCTATGTGTAGAGAACAGGCATGCACCAGTTAAAAACTGGTGTTAGGGCTTCCACGAAAATTGTTATAAGTCGCCCACAACGAATTACTCAGAGTTGTGACTTACCTCGCGATTACCTCTCATTTTCTAGAGAAATGTTTGGACCGCAATTCCATATAAGTAGAAAATTTTTAGCATTATCTGCGATACAAACATGAACATTCTAAAATGTAATAAATACAGAAACAAACAACTGTTTCAACAGTTTTTTTCTAACTTTGGTGCATGTTAGAATGCTCACATTTTTGCTAAAAATAACTTAACTAAATTTTTTTTCACAGGTGAATTTTCAAGAGCAAAATTTCTCTATAAAATGAGAGGTTTCGCGACTATGAGTAATTCTTTATAGGCGACTTAAAACAATTTTCGTGGAAGCCCTAACACCAGTTTTTAACTGGTGCATGCCTAGTAGAGAACAGCTGAATAGTATGACGATTAGAGTAATAATAAAAAAATGTCAAGCAGATTAAAAAATCTTTATTCTGTAATTGTGCCTTCTTTCACCGCAGTGAAATGTTCATTAATCTGTATGTAAGAACTTGTTCGGGTATAGATTAGAGGCCTGCGGAACGGTCCCGGTCCCATCCCGAACCCATGGGACTTTTTACGGGACCGAGCCTTAGAGGTCTGCGGGACGGTCCCAGTCCTGCGAGATGATCTCGGTCCTGTGGAACTTTTAATGGGATCGGGGCCAGGATGTTTTGAAAATAGTCTTGTATAGAGCATAAAAATTTCTTGGTTTCTGTCCTTGTTTGTATGTAGGTACTAGTTCTGCGGAAAAGAACTCATAAAATTCTAAAAGTCTTCAATTAATATCACCCACGCATGCTGTCCCACACGTCATATTACAACGCGCTGACTTTCAAACTATCAGCGCTACTTTGAAAAAATATTTACAGGGCCACGGGATAGGAACCAAAAACGAGTTCTTTCTACGGGACCGGGGCCAAAAAAGTTTGGTCCCGCAGACCTCTAGTATAGGTCACAATAGAAGAGAACCACTATTAATGATTAAAGACTACCCACATAAATACACTATGTCTAGAGCTATAGGAGATGTGAACAATACAGTTACTCATTTTATGAATCAGATATTCGGGTACTATTAGTAAACGCCTGTTTTTGAACGGTCTAAAAGCAATGTGTAATAATTACAAATTTATTTCGATGATTTAGCGTTCTCTTTTTCTTTTTATTGGCATTCTTTTACTCTGAAGCAGCGTTGGAGTAACTAACACACATATACACAACATATGTCTGTGTGTGTGTGTGTGTGTGCCGCTTTTTTAGTTATGTTGAAACAACAAAAAACGATCACGACGAGTTTTTTTTTCTTTTTTTTATGACTACACCTTCCTGCAACAAACATCGTGCAGTCAAGTTGACTAAGATAAACATGCATTTTTTTCGTTTATTATACCATATGTTCAGCACATTCCTGCTTACTTAGTTTTAAAAGTATGAACACTTTAATTTTAATTTTAATATAAACTTCTTTTTAAAAGCAATTAAACGTGACTGTAGAAGTATCTAGCAATTTTGTTATGTACTTTCACATTTAAAAAATTTATGAAGTATAAAGTAAGAAACGAACGAACAAAAAATAAAAACCTTAAATGATTATATCTAATAATATTCTACGCAAAAACAAAAGTTGAGTTATATCTGCGTGTATTTATATTGCCATGATAAACAATATATGAACAACAATACGAAACATTTATCATATAAATATCGAATGCAACAGTTTTTTCAAGACGTTGGGAAAAAGGCTGAGAATTTTTTAGCTGACCATCCCGATGCAAAAACACTTGTGGAAAATGCACAAAAAGGTGCACGAAATATAGCGAGAAAAACAGAGCAACGTCTGGGGTTCCATGAAACGAAAATAAAAGGACAAGTAAGTTAAGATAGACTCAGAATGTGGAGGTGGTGGTGGTGAAACTACTAACGGACTATATACACTGTTCTTGTTTCTGATGACTTCAGACAATCAGATCTCTTTCTTTTCTTTAAAAATAGTTTGCCTATTTTTACTAGTCAAAGTACGGTATGGCTAATATCTCAGAATAAGTTCATTTAACTACCATGTAACTTTCATGTTCTGTCATGGCTCATAAACAAAGTAACGTATTCACTCGTTTATGTGTTTCCATTATACGCAAGAAAATTTCATTTTTTTTCTAGGATGAAAATCCATTATTTAACTTTTAGGTGAAAATTTTTTTATTAAAAAACCCTCTCTCAATAGATAAAATATCGAAAAATTGTATTTATTCGTTGTTCTAATAGGCTTTCTTCTCCTTTCTTTTCTTTAGTGTCGGATGGGAAATTGTCTGTACTTCGGCCGTCCCAATGTGAAACAGGCGCATCATGCCCGTCAGACTCATTCTCATTTTTCGCATACTACTAACCATAATACTGCATCTCCACCGCCACCTCCCTCTTCTTTATCACCATCATCTTTACTCATCTCATCTCAGATAGCATCACCTAACGGTAAAAATGAAGGTGACACATTTTCAAATATTAAACCTCCATCTTCGCCAACATTTCGTCCATCATCGTCAGGGGCATCGGCGACTTCGTCTTTAACACCACAACCATTCACCATAGCAGCGCTTGCAACATCCGTCCCATTTGCAATTTTAAATGGCGGTATTAATCCATTACACAAACCAACGTTGCAATATATTGCCTTGTTCGATTATGATGCGAGAACGAGTGAAGATTTGACAATACGAAAGAATGATCTATTAGAAATTATTTGTAAACGAAATAATGCTTGGTGGAAAGCACGATCCGAAACAGGAAAAGAAGGTTATATACCGTCTAATCATGTTGCCAAACGAGATAGTCTCGAGTCAGAACCGTATGTATTCGATAATCTCTATGAAGAAAAACATTCATTTACAATTATTCACTTTATTTTAGATGGTATTTCAAAGTGACTCGTCGAATTGACGCTGAAAAAATTTTGATGTCTGATGTAAATGATCATGGTTCGTTTCTCGTAAGAGGCAGTGAAACTCGTCCGACAGATTTTTCATTGTCGATTCGTGATAATGAATCGATAAAACACTATCGTATACGGTTAGCAGAGGATGGACGGTTGTATATCGCTCGTCGTACAGCATTTTCATCGTTACGGGATCTTGTTTCACATTATTCAAAACAAGCTGATGGTTTATGTGTCAATTTAAGACGACCATGTATACAAGTGAGTCTATTTTGGTTGATTCTATTTTAATGACAAAGACAATACATACAGGCATTTTTAATAGATAGTAAAACCAGAACCAGAAGGTCTAAGTCATAATACCGTTGACAAATGGGAAATAGATCGACAAGACGTTAAATTAGGTCGCCGTCTCGGTCAAGGACAATTTGGTGATGTATACGAAGGACTATGGAATAATTCTACACCTGTCGCTATCAAAACATTAAAATCAGGTATGAAAGTCAATTTGTTATTTATTAATTAAATAAATAATTGTCTAATAAATTTTAGGTTCAATGAATCCATCAGATTTTCTTGCAGAAGCAAGTATTATGAAAAAGCTTCGTCATCCAAATCTAATTCAGTTATTTGCCGTGTGTACGATAAAAGAACCAATTTATATTTTAACAGAATTAATGAAAAATGGAAGTTTATTAGATTACTTACAAAGTAATGTTAGCTTTTCATTCATTACATACTAATAAGAATCGTGTTAAAATACAAATACTGAAGTTTTTAAGCAAAATTCTATTTTTTTCACACTAAGAAAAGAACAAAGTAAGCTCTATTTAGAGCATATTCGATGTTGAAGATTGTGGTTGAAGTGTGCTTTTCATTTGTTTTCTTTAGGTTCACGTGGCCGACAATTGAAAATGCCAACGTTGATTTATATGGCAACGCAAATATCCCGTGGAATGGCTTGTTTAGAATCTCAAAATTATATACACAGAGGTACTGAAGTTCTATAAAACAATCATCATCAGATTTTGTTATTATTTTTTTCTTTAGATCTAGCGGCTCGTAATGTTCTTGTAGGTGAAAGTAATACCGTAAAAATAGCCGATTTTGGTTTAGCCCGAGTCATCAAGGTTTGTTGTTGATTTTTGTTGATCTATTCATTTGAATTGTTTAATACGTAATTCATTTTATAGGATTATCATGGTGTCTATGATGCTAGAGAAGGTACCAAATTTCCTATTAAGTGGACAGCGCCAGAAGCAGCACTTTATAACAGGTTTACAATTAAATCAGATGTATGGTCGTTTGGAATTTTACTCACTGAGGTAGTTACCTATGGAAGAACACCATATCCAGGTTAGTAGTTTATTAACTAGCTATGAATCAATGAACGATTCATTTATAGCGATATGTAAATAAAATGCTTTTGTTTAAAGAAAGATGTGTGTCTTTATCTAAAGTAACAAATATGTCGGTAGATCTGACATTTTTGTAATTGTCTAGATATGGAGAACCAAAAAAAAAAAACGTTCAGAAGAAGATGAACGAAGAGAACACATCTGATCTGTATAGTGTAAAAAAGAGAGACGAGTACGAATCTCTAAATGAAGTTATTGAAACAACAACTGTTTCTCTTTTCGTTTGCCCTGTGTTTTTGTTGAAGAACATTCTATTTTCACAAATTATTAATCTCTTATACTCATTTATATTTCTTCTTATATGCTTTAGGTATGACTAATGCAGAAGTACTTCGTCAGGTAGAACAGGGTTATCGTTTACCACGTCCATTAAATTGTCCACAAGCTCTCTATGATATAATGCACGAATGTTGGCATAAATGTGCTGATAATCGTCCTTCATTTGACTCATTACAATACAGACTAGAAGATCAACATACGGATGGTGGAATGGAAATTCAAAATTTATCGCTACATAATTGATTAAATATTTTTCTTACTGTTATACAATATTTATGCAAATTATTTTTTACATATGCTACATTTTCCATGTAAAAAAGATTATTGGCTCTTGCATACATTCTCGTGATATTTATATTTTTTTATTTCTTCTCGCTTTATTCATACGTTTGATAATGTCAACTAAACTCCGTTATAAGTGTCTTCCAAATAAAGATCCTAAGACAAGTCAAAATAGTGTAAAAAAACTTTTTTTTTTCTTCTCTCTTAGGTTATTTTTGCCTTAATTTTCTCAGGCATACAATTACTTTTAGTTGCTTTTTGACGTTTTAGTCATTAAGTGACATCATCTGTTCCTTCCATTTTTGTTATATTTTTTAATTATGTTCTTTTTTTTTTATCACGCTCAATCAAATCTAGTGTCCATATGTTGGTTTAGTACTTTTTTTTATATTACTACTTCCTCTATATTTGGCACATTTTTTAGCAGCTGGCAGCTAAAACAAATATCAGAGAAACTGTACTAATATTTGTATGAACAACTTTAAAAACGATAAGATTCCAATTACTCCTTGCTCATATCCCGTTGTTTTTTAAGTTCGTTTTTGTCTATGTATATATTTTTGTATATATCTTTCGAAAAAATAATATAGATACAATGATAACGTTACACTACAAAATAAAGAAAGGTATTTTACAATCAAAAAAAAAATTACATTATAAAATGTTCAATTTATTTACAAATGTTTTTGATGGTCATTAGAATAAAAGTCAAATTTTTATTGAAATTCTTATCTATAACAATTTAGTTATGTCCATTTACGACACATTTTATAGTTCATCTCTTATTTAGAAATTGTCTTGTCATAGCCATTCAAATCTGGTACAAAAAATTGATTACAAAAAAGCATCTGTTCAACCGTGTCTTTCAACCGTAGATCACTAGTCGAGGCAATCAACGTCTATACAATGCAGTTTCTCAGTACTCTTCAATAATCTCAATGGAAAAAGGGATGATTTTAATTATATTGAGCTTCCATATTGAAATGTGGTTTTCATTTTTAGTTAATGAAAGAAGTTTTAAACAAATCGGTAAATAGTTGTTTGAAGGCTTTTCATTTACTTTCGTTTGATCACATAGTTCTATCGATAGATCATCTATTTTTTTAGATACTTTTGTTTGTTTAAAATATGGATCCAAAAGAATCGAAACGTGTCGATTTCAGTTTGTTTGGACCGTATAATTCGATCGATAATAAAAACAATGTACCAGGTAAAATGAGTTGCTGACGTATAGTTAGTGGAAAAAGTGTTCATACGAACATTTTTCACTTCGATTAGGATATTTATCGAACAGATAGAATTTTAGTTTATATACCGTTCGAAAGAGCAAAGTCTGGGCTACACCATGGAAAAAAGAAATTATCAAAAATCATTACAGCTGACGGATAAAAATTGTGTTTTTAATTAGTTAGTCAATTTTTACAGAAAAATTTATTTAGTCTATCTAAAACTCATCAAAACCTAACTTTGAATATATCATTGGATAGCGATTGAAAAACTGTATGTATTTGTTATGATTTAGTCATCTCATGTCGTTTAAATCGATTTACTTTTAGATTCAACATCGAAAAGGCATAAGTTTTGTTCCTAAAGTCGAATTGTCGAAAAAAAGAAGCCATTTTGAAGAGAATTAATTTTTTTATTGAACGGTGTGAATTTTAAATTTTTTTAAAAATATTTCTAAATCAAAAATTTTAAATTAAAATTATTTCACTAAAATTTCGATTTTTATTTGCTAATAAGGTCGGATTCGTAATCAGCGCGAAAAACTTATGGCGTTCGAAGGAACATTAGTACAGTTACTGAACTAACGTTCGTTGAAGAATCGCTGTGATACATATGGTTTAGATAAGCAGACATGTGTACGTTGAAGCAGCCGAGACATACGTCTCCATCTAGACATGCACCGAGACTGATACCCTCTATGACGTCATTACGGGTTGTCCAAACTAAAAAACGTTTTGAAAACTTTTTACATTTTACATAGTTTTCTAATTCTAATTTCTAATTCTCTCCTCTATCCCTGAATCTAAAATTCCCTCTTATCACTTGAAAAAGGGCTAAGAAAATCGAGATTTACGAAAAAGAAAAATTTTCCAACCATCAATACGAACACTGACTCTACATTTATATAGACCGAAGGGAACGAAAACAAAGACAAAAGACGGTGGCGTCCTTTATGTATCGTATCGTCCTTTTCTGTTCTGGCGCAGCTGATAAAAGAAAGATTGTAAATGTAAAATGTAACTTTTTTCACCAAAATTTTAACATTTACATTTGTTGCTACAGGTCTTGATGAGTTCTAGAGAGATTAAATAATGGAGTCGCAATTTAGGGCCTTTTCTATCATATCCGTCACGCACCGACTATTCCTTCCCAAAGCCGTAAACCTTACCCAAATTCTCTCATTGTTTTACCAGAGACAGAGGACAGTGAACTGTACAAAATGTTGGCAGAAATAATTTTCTATAAAAATTGAGAATTACCATAGCAAAAATGTCACGCCGTTACGTTTGGACAACCGGTGTACTGGTCGTTGTTCAGCAAAATTTAAACTCTAATTTTAGTCTATGCAACGTCTGGTGCTAATGCCATTTCACCATATTTGAATTTTAATCCACAAATATTGAATCCCGTGAGTTGTACAAAATGATGATCAACGTATCATTTCATTTTCATTACTAATCATTTAGAATGGTTCGAAATTCATTTTACCTGAAGGACAAAAAGAACGTCGCGGACGATTGGAACTCATGTTTTTCACTATTGGTGGTTCGGTTATAGCTGGTAAGAATGACACATCGATCTTCCTTAAATAATTATAGATATAATACTATGCTTTAATCTTTACAGGAAGTTTTATGGGTAGTATCGCTGGCTTATATCGTGGACTATGTGAAACGAAAGATTTGAGAGGACCTGTACGAACGAGTTCGTAAGTACTCTTTCTCTACATTACTCTAATATTCTATCTCATTTTATTACTACATTTAGAATTATTAATTATGTTGGTAGACAAGGCGCTACAACTGCCACAGCTGTTGGCTCAATAGGTAATTTGTTTATTATAAAATAAATAATTGATGATCTCGTTTATCAGAAATACTACACATATATATCTAAATATTTTAGCATTGATCTATAGTCTGACAGGTACGGCTATTAGTTATGGACGTGGTGTTGACGATGAATTAAATACACTGGCTAGTGGAACATTAGCAGGACTTATCTATCGATCGACCTCTGGTTTGCAAAGCGCTGCAAGAGGAGGCCTCGCTGGTTTAGCTATAGCTGGTCTTGGTGTACTAGTAACATCAAAAGATCGTCTGAAACAATACATGTAGAAAATGTTTGATTTTTATATTGTGTTGTTCAATTGTTTTTTGTCTTTAATTGTATCTAAGCGTATAAGATCGCTCCTTTTCTTTCTCATTTTCGTTTTTCTGTTAAACATTATGAATATAACAGTCATAATCATAATATATGTGATTACTACTGTTATAGTAACATCTGAGAAAAAGAAGTGTTCCTCTATGCCAGTTTCTAAATCATTGATAAAGCTCGAATTAAAAATATTTAATCAGTAGTATTGTATTTTTATATACTATTGCGGAATAATATATATGCTACTGAAATTGTGAGAAAATTCATTAGACTATCTATCTCCATTTTAATTTTGTTTTAAGATAGAGAACAATCATTATGTCGATACCTGAAAAAATGCGAGCAGTACTGTTAAAAGATTTTGGCGACATAAGTAGGTGTGAAACAAATAACTTTTTTATTCAATACAAATAATTTATGTTATATATAATCATAGGCAATATGTACATTGGAGAAACAGCAGTACCAAAACCAAAGGTTAGTTTTGCTACAATTTAAATGAGAAATCCGTTTGATGTAGTTGCTCACTCTATTGTCTTATTAGGATGATGAAGTACTGATTAAAGTTCATGCATTTGGTGTCAATCGTGCGGATACTTCACAACGTCAGGGAAAATATCCGCCTCCACCCGGTAATAGCGATATTATGGGTCTCGAGGCTGCAGGTGAAATTGTTCAGTTAGGAGGTGAAGCAAAGCAATTTAACTTGAAAGTTGGAGATCAAGTAATGACCCTCGTAGGTGGGGGAGGGTATGCAGAGTATGTGACAGCACACGTTGGTTGTGTTATGCATATACCAAAAGGTTTATCCATGATTGAAGCAGCTGCAATTCCAGAAACGTTTTTAACCGCATTTCAAGGTTTAAGAACGATTGCTCATTTGAAAAAAGATGATATTGTTCTCGTGCATGCTGGTGCATCTGGTGTTGGTACGGCTGCGATTCAACTTGTGAAATTATTTGGTGCTCATTGTTGTACGACTGCCGGAAGCGAAAAAAAGTTAGAGTATTGTAAAAAGTTAGGTGCCGAGGTTGCTTTCAATTATAAACAAGGACCTTGGCTTGACACAATTAAAAAATTTGCCACTGATCAAAACAAAGATGGTATATATTCACTAACAATAACTGTATTTCTCATCTCTTTCTCAATTCTATTTCATTGTAGGTGTCGATATCGTCTACGATAGTATTGGAAAAGATTATATTGAACAAAATCAAGAAGTACTCGGTACCAATGGAAGATGGGTAGTTTATTCGACACAAAGCGGTGCAACAGCTGATAAGTTGTCACTTAATATATTAATGAAAAAACGTATTCAGTTAACGGGAACTGTATTAAGAGCAAGGCCAAAAGAATACAAAACAGAACTTGTAAAAAATTTTAAAGAACAAGCTTTAGATGGTTTTACAAATGGTACACTCAAATGTGTTATCGATAAAGTTTTTCCATTTGAACAAGTAGCTGATGCACATGCATATATAGAAGCGGATAAAACAATGGGAAAACTTGTCATACAAATTTTATAAAGATATTTTTATTTATTGTAAGCAAGCACTCAGCAAACAAGTGCCTATTCTAACTTATTTATACTTACTGTTGATTTTAAATATATATTGATTATGATTAGAAGTAAATTAGCTCTCATTCAACGTATTAGCAAATACAACTATGCAAACCTGATCATCATCGTACACAAACGGTAAGTAGAATAGAATATTTGCAGTACAATTTGAATTATGATATAAAATTGTAGATGGATGATGATGAAAAATAATGGTAAACAAAAAAAAATGTTTATTGTTGTTTGACTATTTACGATTAATTTCGATTTTAAAATCAGCACATTATTTTTTCTAAATATGATATCCAAAAACGATTTAATTTTACCGACATATTTTTCTCGAAAAGGAAAAAACCAAAATAAAATGAATAAAGCCAAGTACAGGGTAAAAGAAATGAAACAAAATAGAACCAAAAAAATTTAAACATGATAAAAAACCAAAAATTATAAAATTGGCAATAACACGCAAACGCACTGTTCAGCTAAAAACAAGCAAAGCGAGAGAGAGAGAAACAGATCGTATCTATAAATTAATGTAATCTAAAGAGAAATAGTACATGTAGTAACAGTGGAAGGAACAAAACTATCGTTTTCTTTTTTTTATAATAAGTATTTAAAAAAAAATATAAAACAATGCAACACAATATAAGAAAAACAGACGCAAAAAACAGGTTACCGACATCAGAATTTTCACTTATTCTACTAGTAGTTTGCCTTCACTGTTCTCATTCAGTTTTTTACATAGTGGACAGAATTACATTGTATGCCAGATAATAGGGTAATCTAGTGTGGAATTGCACGTATGCTGATAAAATTCTAATTGAACAAAAAAAAAAAAAAATATTGAAAAGAGATAACTGTGTTACATCCATTCTTTCTTTTTTTTTTTGTTATACTAATAGTATAAATGCTTGTTGATGGTATAATATAATATATAATCAATAAAACCTGACATCTTATATAGAATATTGATAATCAAGTAATAATAAAAAATTAAATGATGACTAGGAGATGAACAAAAAGAGAAAACTAATGTCTTGACTAAAATCGTTTGTCTAGGTCAAGGCGAGAATAATAAATTTTGTCTATTGAGATCAATCGTTGTTCATTAGCTGATTTTTGAAGATGAAGTATAATAACTCTACTACAGACCATTGACACACTTTCACTTCTATGCAATTAGTTGAATAAACCAAATGACACACTTCGACTGACACATGACAGCAATTTAAAGGATTAACCACACATTACTGTTACTTGAAAAGTACATGTTCGATGAATTTATTATGAATTTATTTTAATTTGTCTACCAAAAGATCCAACGCGATCATGAGGAATAGGTACTTCGACTGTTAGTGTACTATCTTCGCTCATTTTTGCTCTCAAATTATCAATATCCACCGAATCTGGTAGAACATATTGACGAACATATTCTCGATTAATTTGTTTACCGCGAGTATTATCGATATGAATGGCTTGTACTAAAATAGGTAAATTCATATGACCTTTTAATGTTTTATTTTGAACTAAATATTCATACCTTTCAATACATTTTCATTCACTTTTACATTGACATCTTCAGGTTTATAACCACTTAGATCAAATGTCAGTTTCAACTGTTGATCTCCCAAGGAGTATGAATCATTTTCACTACCGAGATTAAATTGATTTGATTGTATAGGTGTTGGTGGTGGTCGATAGTCTCGTACCGGTATTTGAATGCTTAATATGCCATCAGAGCCCAATGTATTTGTTAATTTTTTGGCTTCTGCTCCATCTGGTAAACCTATTCGAAGAAACATTCAACATTCTTTTACTACAAAAATTTCATGTGATGACTTTAAGTTGTTATGGCTGTGTCAAAATCTTGCTTCTTTAAGAAAATGTTTGAGTACGTAAGATCGTTGTATTATTACTACTGACTTAAAAAGGGAAAAGTCTAAGTTTCTGAGAACTAGTCTGTTTATATGAAGAAAAAAAAACGTTGTATACGAACCAATTTCTCGTTTGAATTCTCTGAAATATGAATTATGATTATCCCGTTCTTCTCGAATGGCTGTTATTTTCAGCATGGTATCATTGACCTGAATGGCAATATCTTCGGGGGCAAATTCACCTAGATTAAATTTATAACTAACGGTTTTTGTTCCATCTCCTCTATCGGATATTGTATAATCGGGACGAGATGTTATTGTTGAATATGTGGTTGGGGCTTGATTATTTAATAAACTACTTCCACCGCCCAACGTTGATGAAGTTGAAGATGTTGTGGATGTTATATGATCTCTTAACGGACTGCTACGATGAAAACTAGTATTTCCTAGTCCTGTTCCACCTTCTTGTCTGTATGATGACGACGATGTTGAAGAATAAGACGATTGTGTATTTCCTCCAGTGCCTAATCCACCACTTCCAAATGATGATGATATCGGCTGTCTTCCACCGATAAATGTTGTGTCAACTATTTTTCCTGGACTTGCTTGTCGATGTTCTAATTGCGATACATTTGAACCATAAACACGATCCATAATAACGGGTGCTTCTAACGTCAGTTTTCCATCATCAGATAAGTAGGATTGTAATGCTTTAACTTCAACAAATTCCGGTAATGTTAACTCACGATTAAATTGTTTTGATTCAGTTGCATTGCCAACTTTCACTTGTCTATCACCTTTAACAATTAATAGTCGCCCTTCGACTTTGACATTTAGTTCTTCCGGTTTAAATTCACCAATATCAAATTGTATTTTATATTTTTTTCTACCATCATAATCTTCTTCAATAAAACTCTTTTGAGTATTACTACTACCGCTATTACCTAACGCACCACCTTTCCACACAGGCCAATCAGTTGAAAATTCGGGAAAATCAGGAAAATCTACACGCATTCTTGGACGTGCTAACGATAACGACGAGGATGGTACACCACCTGACTCTACGCGAGATTCATTGAAAAATTTTTCACGCCATCTTCGACATTCTTCTTCAAAATCTCTCATTCTAGTAGACATACGAGAAGAAAGATCATTTTCCGTTCCAGATGAATGAAACCGTATAAAACGTTGATCATCAGATGGATTAACTGTTACAGGTATAATTGTACGATGTTCGTTCATGTCTTCTTCGTCTTTGTTCAGTAATATATCTCGATTTAAATTTCAATAGGATAATGGTAGATCATTAATCAAAATATCTCGTCTAAAAGAAAAAAAAAGTTTCTATTTCACAGGTGAACATAAACTTTTCTCATTTTTTAATTATGTGTTCAAATCATTCATGTGCGCATACGTGAGTGAGACACTAACACAATAAAATTTTCTCATGATGAGAGAGTAAGGTACTAGTCAAACAGGCAAGAGCAGTTCCGACAGAGATAAATTTCAACTAAAATAAACACTTTTGTGCTATAAAATAAAGCCGTTTATCATTGAGATTAGCAGGGACTAACTAATAAAAGGCTCACTCTTGTTCCTTCGTTGAATAAGAAGTTATATAAACAGGAGACGTTTAGATAAGATAATGTATATGAAATTACGATTTGAGTAAAAAGTTTTTCATTTAATGCAATAAGATTTAATTATATGAGAAAAAAGAAGAGCGATAAAATGGCGGGTTCATGATGTCGTAACTTACATATAAATTTCTTTTAAATTCCATTAGCTTAGTTTCATCCGAATTCAATAGCAAGAAGAGATATTTATTGTTTTTTTGTTATTACACAAATCAGTGGAAAAAGAGAAGAGAATTTTATTATATGAATGTTTTTGTTTCCTGTAAGCACAGACTTTTCTTCCTTGTACAAATGAAAAATGAATCCCACACAGAAAATTCTAGCATTTATTTTTTTTCTTTTTGTTCTATTCTAAAATCGGGGGTAACAGATCATGTCTGATAACGGAAGATGGAAGTAGATGCGCGAACTGTTCCTCTAATAGTACTAATACATACAAATCCTAGATGAGTAAAGAGAGAGAAGAGAAGAGAGTGTGCACAAAAAGTGGGAGTCGTTTTGTTTACATAAATCGATAGACATCGTTCTTTTTTTTTGGACAAATGTCTAACCACAAGAAATATGTATGCACTAGAAACTAGTTTTATCTCTCTCCTATGCAATTGAAGTAATAATACAGCTACTATTACTCTACGATGATTTATTCTCTCATTTTTTTTCCTCGTTCTCTTCTTTACCGTGATCTTATTTTTACTATTAATATTACGACGGTATGTATTGTTGTTGTATTTATTTGACGGCCGACTTTTTTTTAAATATTATTTCTTCTCTGTGTCTGTACGTGTATTCTTGTACAAGACGAAAGAAAAAAAACCAAAAAATATTCGCATGATTTCTTCTTTTGCCGTTGTAGATCTAATGTCTGTATCTTTATCATCATAATGAAAAGAAGAAAAAAAAAAAACCAACAGTATTTACATACATGTCTTTGTATATCCATTATTTCCTGTACGGTTGTGTCTGACTTTATTTTGCATATGTATATAAAATGTGAGTTGAAAAATAGACAAAGAAACAAAAAAAAAAACTATATATATATATATTTTCATATGTTATATAGAGTAGTTACACAATTATTATCAACATCTCGGTACAGTAACCATATGTATTGTAGTTCAAACGATGGAATCGGTGCTCCCTTTTTCCCTCCTATTCTGTAGGGTCACATCTTTCTTTCTTTCTATACATCCAAAGTACAAAAAGAAATCGTATTGTGAAAATAGAGATACATAGATATGCACGCTGAAAACAAAAGATGAATTATACATAGAGACAAAAATCTGACATCTTCAGGCAATTTATTAACTTTATATCAATATCACATAATCAACACCATATTTTTTTTGTTCAAACTAATTGAAATTTTTCTTTAAAATAAATTGATTTCAATAGAGTAAACAAAGAAAAATCTGAATTTAAATTATTCTTGTTAAATAACTGCATAAAAAAAAATATAAACCAGAAGGTGACAGTTGTTGCTACAAAAGGATAATAACTACTCGATTTAATGTCATCACATCCTTTTTGTCTGTTACTGTATAAACGTAATCTTAAGAACAGATGGGGATTTAAAGTAAAAGATCGACAGCATATGACTCACTGATGACCGAATGAGAGCAAAAAAAAAAGACTTTCGATTCCCTCTACTGATATATTATTTTTGCACTTAGTTATGCACAATAAAAGTATACGTAAGAGAGTAAACTAAGAGATATTGGATAATCATGCGCGCACACACACACATACGCATACTAAAAAAAGATCATCAGTTGATTTGTCTCTTAATAATATTGGAAAAATATATTTGTTATATCATTCTATAGGAAAAAAACTCACACACGGCTAAATCTGTCAACAGTATCTATCTATTCATGGTCTTATTAGAATAACAATGATTGGCAAACAAATTTTTTTAGTTAATAGCATGCGAACAGTTCGATATAACAATATATTTAGAATATTTAAAGATAAAATCAGTCTTAGTCTTATTTCCTTTTGTATTATTTTACAATCATCATTTGTGATTGCATACAAAAAAAGATGTTTATTAATGGAAAAGAATAGGATACTAAATTACAAAGAACAGGAAATATTCATATTTTACCAGAAATTATCACTAGTAAAAGAAAAGTAAAAATAGCAATTGAAATAGAGTCTCATGTATACAAAAACTGAAAAAATAACTACATTATATAATATGTCTGACAATGAGTCGAATTTATACTTAAAAGTTATATTTATAGAATGTTAGATACAAAGACATTTTTCACTGAATAAAATACAAAGCCAAGGCATTAATAACACATAAAAAAGGTATATACTTTACGGGAAAAATTGAAAATAACACGATATTATTTTTTTTATTATAATAATAATTTCAATAAATATCAACCGAATCATCCTGATCGTAAAGTTTTAAATGATTGCAATATTTGCTCAGCAATTTCTTCTGTTTTCCATGTAAAGTTTAACAAATGTAATAGAAGGAGACAAGTGTATTTTTGTTTTATGTATTCAGAAGGATTAATTATGTGTCTGTATGTGTGTGTACGAAGAGTCTCTAAACACGGATTAAATTATGGAAATGACATACAAAAGTAAATATTCCACAGAGAGTAAAAAAAACCAAGCTAGATTCAAGGCCAACTATAAGCGACTAAAAAAGAATATGATAATGAAAGTGTTTCTATATCAAAAATAAAAAGTTAATCTACTACCTACTGCAGCATCTTTTAACACATTAAGTTTCAAACATACGTGCTTTTTTAATTTTTTATTAAAAAATAACACGTTTATTATTTCTCTTTTAAATACTTTTGATTCAAAACGTGTTTAGTTGAAGAAATGTTGTACTGGATACTAATACACACACATGAATTATGTAGATATCTGCGATTAAAAACATTTAGAACCGACATAAATTTCAGATATTTGGATATTCTATACACAGAAAAATATTACCATTTGAGTAAACGGATACGAAAAATAGTTAAAAGATATTATAAGAATAAACACGCGAAAAAAAAAATAGAAATGAAATACAACGTCTTTTTCTGATGAATAAAGAGAAATCTTATTAAATCAACATTTATCTTTATAAAAACCATAATATACCTTATATGGTATATATTGTTATCTATTAAAGACAAGATTTTTAATAGTTAATAGTTCAATAGTTAGTTCTCCTCTTGACTCGGTTGTTCTCTTTATCAGTCTATTGTCGACTAATGTGACATTAATGAATCCTTTTATCATAATGTCAATCGTCTACGGCTTTTTTGTTTTGTTTTGTTTTGCATGAAGGCTATAGGCATATTTTTATGTTTTGTTCAATTTATAATTATTAATCTATGTCGGTCAATTAACCTGTTAATGATAGGATGCGTATATAACTTACCCAATATAGTATATTTATTTTTTCTTACTGGTATACGAATGAGTTTTCTTTTTTAATCCAGTTTTAGAAATATATATATATATATATATGTATAAGACACACTTACTGTAAACACTTTCTTCTTTTGTGGTAATAGAAGAATTTTTTTTTCTCTTTTCCTATTGAAAAAGAAGAAGAAGAAGGAGAACTGTTCTGTTTTGATAGAATGATGCCCTTGTTAATATAACTACATCTTTCTATATTCTCTCTTATTCTTTTCTTTTTTTTCTAACTCAGTGTTGCAGTCGCAATTGCTCGCTCTATTCATTTAAGGCAAAAATAACATGACACAAAATAAAAATATTATTTAATCAAAATCTTTCCCGAAACTGATCATACTCAAGTTGAATAATTTATGATGTGTTGAAATTTGGCTATATACATTTTCTAATGATTTCAATTAAAAAAAATTGCATACTATTTATTTCTATTTTATAAATCTTATAAAGATATGTATATCACTGACATATTCAGTTTTCACCCACCCATAATAATAATCCATTCTACGTCTATTTATATCAATGATAATAATAAATGCCATAGTATCTCTATCTCTATCTACACATCTTGCAAGTAGACATTTAAAAAACACCGAACATATCTTAATCTAGTGGAAAAAACAAGAGTAAAAAAGAGAGAATGAGAACTGATGCATAGTTGTAAATAAAAGAGAAACCACCTGTTGTCATTGTCATGTTTATTATTTATATTCGACAGAATCAAGGATCCTAGTATAATGATAACTCTCTAATACGGATATTATACAAAAGAAAATAAGACAATTCACTTCATAATCATGTATGATAACAACAACAACAACAACAACAACAAATAGCGAAGAAAAAAACTTGTATGGGCGTCAATGCACACTACTATCCATCATTGTTCATGTAGGTTCTAACAAACGTTCGTGTTCTTTTCTCCTACTCATTTTTTAATAAATTTTCGCATTATCATTCTATCGTAGGAGTAAATATCTGGAAAAGAAAATGTTTTTATACAAAGCATGGAAATTTAACACAAAAATGCTAATGAATTTTGCTTTTAAAGCATTTGTAATAGGCTTTATCTTAGATTCTGTTAATTCAGTAGTCTTTTTACATTCATCTTTTGGATCGGTTACGACTCAAAAGAGATACTTTGTCTTTTGCAAACTCACATTTAGTTTT